CCAGAGACCTTGGTCATAACTAAATGCTGGCTTGGGTCTATCTGCTTCAGCCATTTTTACTTGATGGAAACCTGACATTAAGTCCAGAGTTGAAAACCACCTGGCTCCACTTAGGGCCTCAAGAGTATCACCAATTCTTGGCAGTGGGTATGAGTCTTTTTCGGTTATACTGTTAAGAGCCCTGATGTCCACACAGCAACGTTGGGTCCCATCCTTCTTCTGGACTAACACGACGGGAGCTGACCAGGGACAATCTGATCTCTCGACTATCCCTTCCTTAATTAGACCATCCATGACCTTTTCTATCTATTGTCGTTTGGCTGGAGCTATTCTCCTCGGAGGGATCTTTATTGGTGATTGCCTGTGTTTATTCTGTGTTCTACAAGGTTTATGCAGCCGAGGTCATGATCTCCTTTTGAAAAGACGTCTCCATAATTTACCAAAAGTTCTTTTACCCGAAGAGCCTGTGACGATGCCAAATGGACTATGCTCTTCTTATAGAGGTCAGTTAAATGTTCTGGAAGTGTATGTCCTTTCTTTACAGTTGTATTTCTTGCATTAAATTGACTGGTTCTACCTCCTGGCACACACCCAACAATGCCCCTTCCTTATGTGTCTGCTCACATTTAGAGAAATTGGCCACTGCTATAGGTACTACTTGATGACCTGCCACAAGTGACCTTCCAATCTGCTGGTCTGGATGGGTCTTCCACTGCTTCCACAAGCATTTGGCTTCCTTGGGGATGTTCTTTTATCCTACCCCAAATTATCTTCTCTGACATAGGGGGTATTATAGTTGACTTAAGTGCTGTGACATGCAGATCAAACGGATGTAGCAACACTTATTGGAATCTGGCCTTTGTTGTTTCCAAACGTCATTTTATCGAAGTTAACTACACACTTCCTCGGTAATAAATAGTCCAATCCTAATATGCATTGGTCTTCAATGTCAGTCAGGTATACTTTCTGTCTGTCCTTTATGCCCATGAACTCAATAGTTACCCACACTGGTCCCCACAATCTTGTAGAATGTCCTGTCACACCACAGAGCTTCGGTATGGCTTCTGGTACTCCTTCATGATCTAACACCTTGATGCTCACAAGGGTTTGCTGAGACGCAGAGTCTATGACAAAGTTGCACCTTTGGCCACCCAGCTTTCCTGTCACGTAGACACTATGTGCTTGCAATTTTATACCTAGCTGTTGTGACTTTCACGATAGGGCTGGTGGGCGTCCCTCAGCGCCAACCACTACTGGTCTCCTTGAGGCTGACCTGTTGGTAATATTCCTCCTACACTGGCTCCTCAAATGTCCGTGCTTTCCACAGTTCCCCCATCATGAAAGTCCCAACAGCTAGGTGTAAAATGCCAAGCACACACAGTGTCTATGTGATAGGAAAGCTGGATGGCCAAAGGTGCAACTTTGTCATAGACTCCACGTCTCAGCAAACCCTTGTGAGCATCAAGGTGTTAAATCACGAAGGAGTACCAGAAGCCATAGAGAAGCTTTGTGGTGTGACGGGACATTCTACAAGGTTGTGGGGACCAGTGTGGGTAACTATTGAACTCATGGGCATAAAGGACAGACAGAAAGTATACTTGGCTGACATGGAAGACGAATGCAT